GTCATGCTTCAGTTGTGTGCTGTTTCCTTTCACATGTGAGATGTTAAAATATCACTCTTAAACATTCTAGACCAGAAATAAAATTTCTGAAATTATGACATTTTTAAGGAAACCTTTTTTTTCTTACTACCTGACACACAGCTTTTGAAGAAATTGTTTCATTAGAAACAAAGTTTCAGGTAAACAAACTTTCTGAAAAAGCATACTTGTGGTTTGATGTTCCTTGAGTATATCTTACTGAAAAGACAGCCTGCATTTGTGTGATGAGTCCTCCATAATTCAGTGTTTCTCTTTGGTCAACTTTCTCCAACTGAGATATGACAACTCAGTGAATCTTTCAACAGTGTAACAAAAAGTTATGGGTGTCAATAACTTTCTATTTCTTTATTTAGGCAGAATACAACTTCTTAGTGTTGTATCAGTAAATTTTCTTGCTGCTTTAAAAATAATTTTTAATATGGGAGTCTGATCAGCTATGAGAGTTTTCCAATGTTTGTGTTTTCGTATGAACAGCTATGGATCTGAATTGAAGATAACTAATTTTCAGTGGAACTCCTCAGACTGTTGTTATATTAATAATCATATACTTGTATGTAAAGTAGGTGTGGGAGGGCAGTATTCATAGTGTTGTGCATATTAAACAAGCTGTCTCTTCACTACAGAAGTTTTAAAAAAATCCAGAAACGTTCAGGTGAATTTGTAGGTTTCAAAGCTAAGTAAGGCAGTCTACAAATAGTCAGTGTCTCTGCTGTGCAGAAGGGAATGTATTTTCAACAACTTAATTTGCAAACACAAATAGAAGCTAGAGGAAGGTACAGTGAGTCACTGATTCATCCTCTGGTTGTCAGGCTTTGTGGTTCTATTTCCACCTGAAGGGCTTTTTAGGAAGAGATAAAGTGGAAAACAAGTAGTAGGTATTCTTCTAATGATCAAAGTATCATGATTTTATTGACTTTGGGTATTCATATTGCTAGTTAACACCCAAAACTCAGGAGGTGTGAACTATACACATTACTGTATGGAAAGGCAAAAATATTGTGCAGCTATCCTCTAAATAACTTGAGTTTTTTTCTCAATATGTGGCTGTTTTACGCTAATACACTACTAGTTCCTCTATTACTCTGTACAAACCTTCATTTTCCAAAGGTTCTTAAACATTTCACTTTTGATGGAAGCTCCGTGCTTGATGTTTGCTGTGATTAAGTTGTTAAAGGAATAGACTGCGTAATGGAGCAAAATGGAAGGAGACACCTCTTTAGTCCTGTGCCATGATGTACTTAAGCTCTCTCTGCTCTGCTCTTTGTTGCCTAAAAATCTGTGACTTTAGTTGCATCATCTTTAATATAATCTGTCATTTGAGAAAGCTGTATTACAGGAATGCTTGTGGATGAAATAATAGGTTTTGTTAGGTTTCTCTATTTACATAACAAAGTCTTGAAGAAAAATCTAAATGGGAACAGTGCAAACCTGAAATGCCTTTCCTATCTCTTGAATATTTGAATAATCCCTTGAGTGTCCTGGTTATTCACATACTGCTTAAAGAACTTGACTTATGAGGAGTTACGCAGCACAGGACAAGTATATTTTTGCCTTCATTACAGTACTGCTGAAAGACACTGTATTTCTTCAGTTACTTTAACTAGGCTGATTAAATTCAATCCATTTAGGAGATGGCTTCTAAGTTTTTGTACCACTTAATAGCTGCTCTGTGCTTTTAGCTCATTGGCTTGTATTTATGAATTTAATGAGAAACTTGATATCAAAACACATACAAACTCAACCAAATTCTATAGTCTTAATTTTTCAACTCCAACGTGCTTTCAAATCTACTGTATATCCTTGTAAAATAATGTGGGTTTTGAAACAGAAACTGACAAATCTCTAACTGCAGCTGCTAGTAGCCAACAGCGTAGTACACTTAGCACTGGAGCGTAAGCTTTAATGAACTAGGATTGCATGAAGGCAATAGTCTTAATTTGGTGTGTGACCCTATTACATAGTGAAGGTTGTCATGAAATAAGAACTTGTAAATGTCGTAAACCTACTGGTAATAAATACAATTAATAATGTACATAGAACAATGGAATTAAGTACATTCCTATCAGAAGGAGTTATTAATGAACAGAAAGTGGACAGCATAGATCTGATGACAGGAAGGTTGCATCTAATCTGAATTACTGAGTGACCTAGGAAGCTTGCTCAGAGGGATTACGGAATAATTATGTTAATATGCAATTATCACCTCATTTCTTCTGTAGTAACCTCAAGATGTAGTGTAGTAAGGGTGTTATAGCAAGTGCTGATAGTTTGCAAAAATACTGATGTTCAAGATTTTTGAGACAATAAGATTAGCTTGAGGCATTTAAATTATGATCTGTCAGCTTGAAGATAGATCTGACCTTACACTTTTTTAATGCTTAGACTATCTGGCCACAGGCAGTCATGTCTGCAGAACTCATTATGATCTTAAAAACTTAAATTTTTTGAAGAAAAACAGTATTAAATATTATGTAAATTTAAAAGCACGTAATTAAACAGGGGTGGAATGTGGCTTAGTTGGCTAAATAATTGTTTGTTTTCTACTTTTGAATGTGAAATAATTTCTATAAAATAGCGTATCGTGTAAACCAGGAATAACACTGTTAACTGCACTACAGTCATTCTAGGTTTACCTGAAATAATTGAATTGAATTTGGCCTAGTGTGTGTTTTACATAAAGTGTGTTTCAAAGGTATGAGCCTGGGATTGTGTACGCTTGTGTAGGCTTTTTGAGCATTGCCATTTTTACACTTATATATCTCCTAGGTATATTGCACTATGTGTTTAAATAAAAATTACCTCAACTGTGTAGTGCTTGCCCTGGTAGAGGATATAACAACCAGTATTTGCAGCAAATTTAAATTTTGATCTCAATGTTTAATTTTTCAAATACACTAAGTAAGGATTAATTACTATGTATTTTGACAGAACTAATAATTTATGTATTTCTGATATAGTATAGAGAAGATAATTTTAAAACTGTGATGGAAATATGCAAAGAATATTGCATAGCCTTGGTTACATCTTAGTTGTTCCAATGATTGATTTTTCTTTTTTTTTTCCCCGAGTGTTCAGATTAGGTAGTGTTTCAGTTGGGTGTTGCACTTCCTGAATGATACGAGTTAGATGATAATGTTTCCTCAAAAATGATGGCATTATGTGGAATATTTTCTTACATGTGTCTAGTTACACCTGTCATTGTTACTGCATAAATTTCTACACATGGAGTAGATAATGTAAATGAAGTATTGCATCTTGGCTCAGTGTCATCACAAGACTCTAAATTACTGTAATTTAAAAATATATTTTATATGTTTTCATTAATACCACGCTGTTAAAACTGCTAACTTTCTTCTTGTTGTCCTGCACGTAAAATAGTGAATTGTACCACCTTGATAGCTGGAAAAAATGTGATAATTAGCAGAAAATTATTAAAATGCAACAGTGATATTATTGATACAGTAAGCATTTCAGGCTTGATTCAAAGACTAAAATCTGTAGGGACAGCTGTATTGCCATAGAAGACTTCTAATCAGATCCATATGGAATAGTTCACAATTTCCATAAATACACAATATGGAAAGGAGTCTCTTACAAGATTGCACAGTGTAATGTTTTAGATATTGCTCATGATAACTCTGAAGAGAGTCTCAGTTTAAAGGTGATCGTATGGTGCCTTAGCCACCTTTTTAACTTAAGCTTTAACACTAATATTTAGCGTCAGTATGGTTTTGTATGTAGAGCAACATGGTTTTGTCTTCATCACGTAAACCTGTGAAAAGTTTTCAGGAGCCATTCTGATAATGAGGATTGCAATCTCCAAGCAGGCACAATATTCTCAGTTTGCCTCCCCGCTGTTCGGGGGGTACCGACGAAGTTGCATAAATGGGAAGCGTCTGTTCTTCCTCTGAACCCCTCACACCAGAACAGATGGGTGGAACTTGGAACATGGAAGGTTTTACCTCAGAGGTGGTAACAGTGAAGCCACTCATTAACACTGAATTTACCACTTCGTTAGCAACGTTGCTTCCTGTTGAGAAAAGCTAATGTAGGCTCTCAAATTGATTGAGCATACATTTGTCTACCTCTGCAGTAGTAAAATGAGGAAAATGCACATCTTTGAGGCAAAATTACTAAATTTCTTCTAAACTTTTTGTGAACATTTTTATACTCTGCTGCCTGATACTATATGAAGCTTACACTATTCAGTTGTAAAATCGTTGGAGTTGTTGTGCATCCTTGGAGGTTTCACCTTTTTTAATTGACTTTTGCATTACCGATTCTTAGTGCATGTTTGCACTGCCCATTTCTAACTTGTGTAGGCGATGTAAAGACTCCTCGTGGGTGGTGCATTATCACCATTTTAGGGTGATAGCTTTGAACGTGATCTTATTGGAAGTCTTTATTATGGTGGAAAATGACCCATCTCAAAACAGCAAAGAAATGCAAAAATCTAAGAAATAGGAAGATGAGAAACTGGGGGGTCTAGTAAAACATTTGCATAAAGGCATGTTATAGATAAATAATACAATAAAATATTTCATACACTTTAAGCATTTATTATGTGTCTGACATAAGCGTTGCTGCATTTCTAAATTGCCTAGATCAATGATTGAATAGCAAAGGAAACATTTTTTTTTAATGGCAAATTTTTTTCATTATATTTCTACTCCAAATAGAGTTACTTTTATCTTCAAAGTAGTAAATAAGTTGTATTACATTAAGGTTTGTTTTTTACAAATTTAAAGGATGTTGAAATATTTGTTTCATCCTTTTGCCGATTTGAAACAAAACAAGCACAATAACAGAGAATTTCCATGAGGCTGTAGCTAGCTTTGAATTGTGTGGATAGCTATCGTAATGTTGAATTGAAAAACGAATAGAAATGCTGAACTCATTTTAGAGCGTGACGTGTAAAGATGAAAGTGGTGTCATTTAACCAGGTTGTTTTCTCTCCTTAGGAAAAAAGGATGTCAAGTGTGGTCTTCCTTGATTTTGATGAAGGACCATTGCAGGGAGCCATGGATATTAGTTGTGAGTTATAACATCTTAATTCAAAGAGTCTAGGTAATGACTCCTTTTAACTGAGCTCTATTCAAAATGTTAATTAGTAACTGAAACTAAGTACGTGATGGCAGGAATCAAATCCCCCAAAAGATCAAAGCGAATAGTACTCTTTAAATGTAAAATATGTGATTTCTGTAAAATATAGATAGATGTTTCCGGCTCCCAGATGGGTGTTTTAATGCTTTATGCTTACTGTTCTGAGGACCCATATAAAAGGTAAATGCCAGGGTAGACTTAAGTTCATACTTCTGTTTATTACACACTGATTTTCATGTATAGGCAACTCCTTTGTGCTCACTAAGCATTGGGTAGATGATTTTGTGTATGAATGAAAGTCGCTTGTAGAAAGACATATTTATGTACACAAGGCCTCCCAGAGGGAATTAATATGTAGTAGTTCTCTGTACTAGTAGATACGATTATTGTCATGCTCTGGATTCAGCATGGTGATTTCCTCTGGTAGGTAAATCCTAATTAAATGTTTCTTTCTAATTGTGGGGTTTTTTTCCACCTTTGAGAAGATGCTATTTTATTTGCTCATCATTTTAAATGGCCTTATAACATAAGGAGGATCTGATTTATTTATTTTAAAGCAAGGAGAGCCCTTTTGTAAGAAGGGAATGGGAAGATATTTCATTTCTTCAGTGAGTTTGATCCTTTGCTACGCATCTATCAGTAATCAGATGTCCAAAATCAGCTTAGTTGTGTTTTCTCCGATAATGCTAAAGTAAACACTTCTGCAGGCTTCTGTGTAGCATCAGGTCAGTTGTATAAAAACCCTTTGAAAAAAGTGATACCTTGAGATACATAAAGATTATTTTAGTTTCCTAGATGCTAAAAGGAAGTATGTTTTTAAAAAAAAAAAAACAAACAAAAACAAACGCTAAAATGACTAACAGATGTCTGAATAGCCTTTATTCCTAACTTGTTTTACTTCTAGAAAACAACTAAAGATAAACTCTGTGTTTATGTTAATGTACGTAGAATGTATTTGCACAGTTTTTGACAATCTCATTTCTCCCATCTTGCTTGTATGTAGGTGTTCAGGCTTTTTTGAACTGGGATACTGGGCAATGACTAGTTTGCTGTACGGTTATTAATACAGCATAGCAAAAAAATACATTTTTTTTAGATGCTTCATTGGTTAATTTTAAACATGTTTTGAATAAAAATAAAAAAAATACATTTTTAACAAGTTCAAAACATATTTTTAGATTACAGTGTGAAGAAGGGTGATCCTGAAGAGAACTGTAAATTAAAATTGCCATTATTTATTTCTGTGATTGCCTGATTCTTTTCTTGTTTGTTTTTTAGTATAAATGTACTTAATGGACAGACCAGCAATATGGATGATTTAGAGATAAATACTGAAATCACTGGTGCTAAGGAAGAAGAAATCCTGTGTGATGATAATTTCATATCTGAGGAAGAAGGTGGCATTCCTAAACCACAAGAGTGTGACACGTCATTTCAGAAGAACAATACATTGACTCTGCCTGAGGAGCTATCAAGGGACAGATCTGAAAAAGCCTTAAGTGGAGGCCAAACTTCTCTATTTATACACAGTGGTGCTCCTACTGTTTCTAGTGAAAACTTTATCTTGTCTAGAGGAACTGCTGTTAATGGACCAGTTTCACACTCCACCTCAACTAAGACTTCCATTATGAATAAAGGCAGTGTTTCACTAGCCACTGGACAGCCTGTAGGTCATCACACAGATTCCTGCTCAACTTTGACAGTGGTTCATGATCTTCAGCTGCCTGCAAAGAGTACAACACAGAAATCAAATCAGCACCAAGTTTTATTTTTGTTACCTGATGTAGCACATGCTAAGAACCTGACTCATTCCATTAAAAATCTACCTACCTCTGCTTCAATTGGTTGTGATTCACAGAAATCAGTAGGAAATAGTGTAGATAGCACTTTAGTAGGCCAAGTAGAAGTTTGTGAGGATGATAAAAATTTACTAGTAAAAGACGATTGTGTCGATACGTTAACAGGCATTTCCTCAGGTACAGGTGGTTTTAGATCAGGATGTGATCCCAGCTGGGATCCACAAAAAGAGTTTATACAGTTTCTTATGACAAACGAAGAAACAATAGAGAAGTCTCCCATTCACTGTAAAGTAGGCTTAGAAAAAAAGCGAAAAAGGAAAATGGATGTTAGTAAAATAACACGCTATACTGAAGACTGTTTTGGCGATACCAGTTGTATTCCTAGTAAATCAAAACTATTAAATGTTGACTTCTTAGAGCAGAATGAGGAGCTACAAATAGTAGAACCACAAAAATATTCATTGAGTAAAGTAAAGCCTGAATCCACAGATGAAGAGCTGGAAGCTGTTGATATCCAGCAGCTTATTTATAGTCCCACTAGTAACTGTGCAGAAGATACTTCTCCTGTTCACACTAGCACTTTTCTTTCCAATACTTTAAAAAATAAATGTGAACAGAATGATTCTGAATCACCATCTACTTTCAGTACTGATGAACCATCATTTTATCCCTGTACAAAGTGCAATGTGAATTTTAGGGAGAAGAAACATCTGCATAGACATATGATGTACCATTTAGATGGGAACAGTCATTTCCGACATCTCAATGTCCCCAGGCCCTATGCATGTAGGGAATGTGGAAGGACATTTCGAGATCGTAATTCACTTCTTAAACATATGATAATTCACCAGGAAAGAAGGCAAAAACTGATGGAAGAAATCCGAGAGCTGAAAGAACTTCAGGATGAGGGTAGGAGCGCACGGTTACAGTGCCCACAGTGTGTATTTGGTACCAATTGTCCCAAAACATTTGTGCAGCATGCAAAGACCCATGAAAAAGATAAAAGATATTATTGCTGTGAGGAATGCAATTTCATGGCTGTGACAGAAAATGAACTGGAATGCCATCGAGGAATTGCTCATGGAGCAGTAGTCAAATGTTCAATTATCGGTAGCGACATGTCCCAGAGGAAAACACAGAAAAAGGCATCCTTGAAAGATCCGTATTTAGGATCCTCAAAAAAGTCATCGACATATATGTGTAAGATGTGTCCATTTACTACTTCAGCTAGAAGCATTTTAAAAAAACACGTGGAATATTTGCACCCAGCATCATGCATTGATCCCTTTGGTAGCCATCTTAGACTAGAAAAAAGAAAAGGCAGCATAATAGAAGAATCTTTAGATTTTGGTAGCAGGACAAAACAGTTGATCAAACAATCTTCTACTTTTCCAAAGAACTCTGTTTTAAAACAGGATGTAAAAAGATCATTTGGCTCTACTTCACAGTCCAGTAACTTCGCAAAACTTCACAAGAGACCCTAGAGCGTTTCACAGTCATCTGTAAGTGTGTGCAATCTAAATTCTACAAACAAGACCTTTTTGATTAGAAATAGCATTGACCAGAAACCTAAATGTTTTCATCAAGCAGCAAAACAGAAAGCTAGTGTCAAAACAAGCGGTAATTATTTATATAGACACAAATATGAAAACTACAGGATGATTAAAAAATCTAGTGACTCTTATCCTTTGCATTTAAAAAAGGAAGAGTCCAACTCTGTCAGTTCTTTACATTTATTTTCTTCATCAAGTAGTCCCCGTAATAATTGTTTTGTCATGGATTCAAATAATCTTGATTGCAAAAGGGCAGAAGGCTGTAAAGATCATAGGCATGTAGCTGTAAAAAGAGTGGTTAAAGAATCCAAGAGGGAAGGCTCTGTTACAGGAGATGATTTGGATTGCTATCCAGATTTTCTGCATAAAATGACTGTTGTTGTTTTACAGAAACTTAACTCTGCTGAAAAAAAAGACAGCTATGAAACGGAGGATGAAAGTTCATGGGATAATGTTGAACTATGTGATTACACTACACAGTCTGTGGAGGATGAATCTTACAGTGATATTAATCAGGAGCATGTAAACCTATTCCCCATATTCAAAGGTAAAATGGAAGATCATGAAGCTGGTGATAAATCTTCACTTAGTTATGAGCAGAATGATGGCTTTTATTTTGAGTATTATGAAGATGCTGAGGGTAGTAACTTCCTGCATGATTTGCATGATCCTCAGAATTTAGAAAATGTAGGATCAGCATTGCCAAAGCATAATTCAGTTTTCCATTGGACTGATTTGTCGCTTGAAAAGAAGTCCTGCCCATACTGTCCAGCAACCTTTGAAACAGGTGTTGGATTGTCCAATCATGTCAGAGGACATCTTCACAGAGCTGGACTAAGCTATGAAGCTCGTCATGTTGTTTCACCAGAACAGATAGCAACAAGTGACAAAATGCAACATTTTAAACGAACTGGAACAGGAACTCCTGTTAAACGTGTTAGAAAAGGTAAGTTGTTTATGTTGTTCTTTTTTAATTTGGGTATAAAGTAAAGGGGACAAAGAGATTTATTGAGCACTAAACAAGACTTGCTTTATCTTGTTGTAAAGCCTTTCTTCTTATCCTTGTGACTTGCTATTGTAATGTTTAACTGTATATAATTGTCAAAAAACATGAAAATTATTTTCTTTGTAGCGATTGAGAAATCTGAAACTTCCTCTGAGCATACGTGTCAGCTCTGTGGAGGCTGGTTCGATACTAAAATTGGTTTGTCTAATCATGTGAGAGGACACCTGAAGAGGCTTGGCAAAACCAAGTGGGACGCACACAAGTCTCCGATCTGTGTTCTGAATGAGATGATGCAAAATGAAGAGAAGTATGAAAAAATCCTAAAGGCTTTGAACAGTCGCCGCATTATTCCCAGACCATTTGTTGCTCAGAAATTTGCATCAAATGATGACTTTTTATCTCAGAATGTTATACCTCTTGAAGCATACCATAATGGCCTAAAGACTGAAGATACATCTGTGTCTGCATCGGAGGAAGAAGGGCTGAGTTTCCTAAATGAATGTGATGAAACAAAAGCAGTACTACATGATGAAAAAAAAAATCAGTCACTTACACTGATAGAACTCCTGAAAAATAAGAGGTTAGGAGAAGAAAGGAATCCTGATATTTCTCCTCAAAAGATTCATAATCAAACTGCAAGAAAGAGGTTTGTTCAGAAATGTGTTCTTCCATTAAATGAAGACAGTCCATTGATGTATCAGCCACAAAAAATGGACTTGACTATGCAGTCAGGTAAGAAGATGTTTCTAGCTGTCTTGACATCCAAAGAATCCTTTAATTCATAGAAAATGTACAAGTGCAGAGTATTTTATTTGGGATTCTGTTCATTTAATTCTTGTTTCATTTCCAGAGGACACTGACTGCGAGAGGTAGCACAGCAAATTTTTCTGACATGTTTTTCCTAAAGTGAAAAAAACCCTCAGCAGCACTGAGGGGTTTTTGCATGGAACAAAATTCCTGTTCTGCATATGGTTGGGCATACAAATTCAAAGCTGACATAAAATGAGCCTCAGTAAGGAAGAAGAGACATCCTGCAACAACAAGTTGAAGTGTCCATGCATATTTGGTAGACTAACAGTTCTGAAATGTTTGGGCTTGTAACCCTGTTTCTGGACATTAAAACAGCTGGTGTGGGAACTACTTCATTTAAATCTTTGAGGTTTGCGCAAAGCAGCATTTGCTCAAACTAACAGAACTGTTGATACCATTATAAATGCATAATATTCCAAATTGGTGAATCACTGTCAACTAATTTTGATGGTTTTAGGCAAACATACTCTTACAACATAGATTAATTCTTGTTTGTTTCAAAATTGCGGCTGCTGTGAGAAACTGGTGCTTGCTTAGGGCCTGTCTATCCTGAGTGAAGACCTGTGCTGGTTCAAGCTTTGTTGGAATACAGTTGTAGCCAGCAGGTTTCTAATGCACAGCCCCTGACCGATACGGCCCCTCCGCTGAGAATTGTGCTAACGAAACAATTCTATAATTGACTTCCTAGATACTCTGTATACTAATAGAGCAGGTTTTTAGAGTGATGTTTTTAACCTACTTGTCACATAAGTGTTATTTCTAGTCTTGGGGAATTCTTACAACATCCTTTTTAATGTGTATGTAGAGCTTGCATTTATCTGTTTCTTGTTTGGACACCACCTTATAATGCTGCAGGATTCTTTAGATTGAGGAATGGGATCTTATTTTTATACCCCTGACTTTTTTTGGTTCTGTTGATTTTCTTGTTATTACCCAGTGCAGGTTAGTAAAACTGGCAGTGCCTAGTACTTTTTCAGCTATATTCTTGTCTTCCTTTAAACAAATAACAACAACAACAACAATCCGATGTGCTCAGAAGTTCTTTCAGGGGACTACAACAGTGTGGCAATCAATTTCTTAACAAAGGTGGCTTTCTAAAATGACATAGTAGAGGTGGAACAGTATTACATTTAATGTCTTCTGGACGTCTGTGGTTGTCCTTTAAGACAGGAGATTGCTTAATAAAGGAAGTGTATCTTTGACAGGCTTAATGATTTGAAAAACAATGCTAAAGGATTAGCTTGCTAAACCTGACACTGTGTATTGCTTTCTGTTTAATACTTACCGCTGAACACTAGGTAGCACCTGTTTGGTTGTGATGAACAACCAGGTAAAAATAAGCATATGCTTGCATAGTACTAACAGTTACGAATGGGGCCCTATAATTGTCTATGGCTGAGGTAACAGAATTTGACAACTAACGCACTGTGCCAGTTGAGTTAATAAGAAAATATTTAACATAAAGTTGAAATTCTTCTGTTTTTCCTAAAAAGGCAAATATTTCTAATTCTGGTTTTAGTTTTTAAAAAGGTTTTTACCAACCAGGTGTTCTTCTTCTGTAACTTGCCTGAAAAAACAGCATGTCTTCTGTGGGCTGCTGGAGAATAGGATTCTTTCTTTCCTGCAAATAGAGGCTTTCCAGCTGAGTAGTTTTAGCTTTTTTTATTTACTCTTCTAATAATTTATTAGTAGAGAACTTGAAATATTAGTTGACCGAAACAATATGTCTTTGGTAAAATGAAGGGAGAAACATGGTGAAGTTGAGCAGGGGATAAGTTATAATGGTTTCTTTGTCTGGTAAGTGAGGAGTTCAGTATTGTTTCACTGTTTTCCTGTGATAAATAGCATGTTGCTTTGTTGATTATTTATTTAGCACAAAGATTTTAGCAAAAAACTTCAAACCATTAACTTTCATTATCGATTGCGCATCTAAAGTAATGAACAGAAAATGCACTGAACAAAATGTTTTGTCTAACAGCTGTTCAGTGGTGTGTTTTACCACCTTTTTCTCCGAGCCTTCAATAGCAGCCTAATTTAGTATTGAGCTCTTCAGTCTTACGGGTAAAACACTTTTAATTACCACTTTGTCAACTAGATTTTTTAAATTCTTTTTATTGGAAATGTTGCAAGCTCTGAAATTTCTCAACAGAATTGTGCTATTCATATTACAGGATTGTATTTTGGGATTAGAGCTTCATAATGTGGAGATTTGTAGGAACTTGATAGTAGGTATTAAATGCAGAGTAGCCTAATGGGCTCAAGTTGCCTCCTTTCTGTTCTTTTTCAAATAACATGGTTTGGCTTAAAGCACTACATGGAAAACTAATAACGGTTAACTTGGATCCTTCTAATATACTAAACAATTGCGTCAATGCAGTGAATATATTTTAAACCATCTTTATTGCAGAAAACTTTTTACAACGCTTTGAGAATTTCATTTTTTTAAGAGAGAACTGGATTATAGTTTTCTTTTGAATGATAGGTATGCCTGTGAAGCTTAGAACGTGTGTGCATTGCAATACGACGTTTACAAGTGCTGTTAGCCTGTCCAACCACTTACGCGCTTATGCACGAAAGAAGAGTGCTGGACTTTTGACTGGGACAGGTATGTTTTGTTACAGATGTAAAAGCAAGTCTGTCTATGATACATTTTCCTCATCAGACTGGACAAAAGCATATGTTAATTCAAAATAATTTTGAAGCTTCTGCTGGTAAGCAATTTATTTGCCATAAAACTTCAGCAACTTGTAAGAAAAGGTATGTTGCTGTTGTCCACTCTCATGTCTGATTTTCATTCTTACTCATTTATTTTTGGATCCAACACTTAAGGTATGTAAGCAAAACTAAGAGATGGTCTCTTAAATTGATTCTCCTACAATATCACAACTTCCAAACCAGCTAGTTGGCCTTCTAATGAAGTGTTTAAAAGTACCTCAAAAATGAAAGGGGAAAAAAAAAACCCCCACAACAAACGGACAAGTAATTTTTACAATCTAGTACATATAATTACTAAGAATACTGTAGTTAAAATAGGAAAAGCAAGTAATTTTACAGTTTGTGTATTTCTAACAAAATACTGTATGTAGTTGGTTTCATTTCTTGTTTGGCTTACAACCCAAAAACTACCTGGTCTGACATGGAGTGAGTGTAGTACAGCATTTGGCACTGCTATTAATGTTTTTTATTAAAACACACTTCATTTTGAAATTCCTCTAATATTCCATATTTTGACTCATTTCCAGAGACCTGCAGTTTGCTTGGCTGTAGGCAATTTCTGAGTTTACTTGGATTATTGCTGAGGTTAGTGGGACTTTGTATGATCAACAGCAAATTGGGTAGCAGAGGTGGAATATAGTGAGGCAAATTTAGAGATACAAAGTTGGAATATTCCGTAATTAAGAAGGGCAACCATCAGTTTTCTGCATCAACAAGCACAGACTTTTACATAACGCTTTGGAAAAATGCATAATCCTTTTTTTTTTATCTGCAGATGTAATTCATTGTACTAAGATTGACAAATAAACTGAGTTTCAGGCTTTCTCTGCAGAAGGCTAAAAGAAGTATTTTTACAAACTGGGCCTGTGGCTGCCAGGTCTTATGTTATACTAACATAAGTTAATGCTATAACAAAGTAGATTTAGAAGGAGGTCAACAGATGCAGTAATATCCAATGTGTAGGAGTGTATGCCTTTAGTTAGTGATTCTGAAAGTTTTCATATTTACTCAGTAGAAAGATGATGATAGTGGACTTCATTTACCACTGCTGTGATTTGATGTTAGCCCTGTGGTAAGTTACTTTGCTTATATACCTACTGGTGAAATATTTTTCAGTAGCTATATATTTAAATTGCACATTGAAATCTTAACAGTAATTCAATGGAGGAGGCCCTGTGGCAAACAAGATAGTACACAGAGATTGGATCCTGGACAAAATCCTTGTACCTCAGCTTCCCTTTTGCTAAATGGGAAAAATGAAGGTAGTTTGTTAAGGTGCTTTCAGGGATTTTTGTTTGTTTTCTTTAAGAAATATATTTTGCTAGCGAAGTAGTAGCATACTCAGCAGAACAGTTGCCGCTTTCTTTAAAAGAACTGAAAGAAAACTCCTGAGTCTTGTATCATTGGAACTAGAAGTTTGTTTAAAACTAAGTTAGAAACAAAATGAGGTTAGAAACAAAGCTTAAAAAAAAAAGTCAGAAACAAAACTTTAAAAAAAAAAATCTTTTGATCTCAGAAGCTGGTACTGAGCCAGATAAATAGCCTGTACCATGTGGATAAAGGCCTTTCGCTGAAACCAATGACTTATAGGTTCTAGCTATAACATTATGCAACCACTGTATATTTGTATTAACTTAGTCATTACCACTAAAATTGTTGTAACTCTGTGAAATTTGTAAACTTTGCTCGTTGACTTTTCATTAGAGCAAGCTCAGTGCAAGGCTTGTAGACCAAAAAATATGCTTTTAAACAGTGGTTTTATTTGATATTCCACTTTATATTGTAATTTTTGTGAAGATAATTCTTTTAATGCAAGATTCACTAGCACACACTAGTTTTAAACTTTGCTATGAGTGTCGCTCTTGGGGAGATCTCCGTTTCTTTTATTAAAACATGGTTGCAGTTGAGAGCAATTTCGAGATGTCTTCAGTTTGGCTTCAGCCTGGAACCTGTATGGAGACAATGAGGATATTTCTTTTGTTTTCATGGAGCCTTTCGTATATCTTCTAAAGTAAACATAACTACCAAAAAGAAATCACGTTGGTTGAATATTTGTCTCAGTTTCTTGGTGTAATTAAATAATTGTGTGTAAACGTGAATGCTGTAATTCTGTTTGGCAATTGTTATGGGAGCTACCTAGGCATTACTGTTTAGTAAGAGAAATACAGTAATCTCTGCATGTCACCAAAATGAGACCTTTCCTAGCGCTAGTACTAAGCCCTATAGTCTTCTGCTCCGTTTTTGAGTTTGTCTGCATATGGTTTTGATATTGACTATTATCATATTGTTTTTCTAGCAGATCCCCTGCTGCTTCAGAGTCAGTAATTTGATCACATTTAGTTAAATCTTACTCTTTTTTTTTTTTCAAATGCAACTTGACAGTTTTAGCAGTATAATAGACGTAGTTAAGCATAATGGTAAATTTTGAGAATGGACTCAAGAAAAACATCCTAGAAGTGAAACTTTCTAGGCTGTTGGCTGTTCAAGGTTAGTGTTTATTAAACTTAATTTGTGTCTATAGTTATGCACTATGGATCCACAGCAAATGCCTGTCCAGGTTCATTTGGATAGTTACTTGCTTTTGTATTAGTGCTTGCATGATGGTCTTCAGATGTTTGACTGGAACATTAATTTTTTTTTTTTTTTTTTTTTGTTATGCAGTCCAATTTTGAACAATATAATGATTTAATCGCTCATCTTAAGTAGATGCTAATTTCCTTTTATACCTGTTTTGGTGAATAGCAACACATTAGTGTTTCTCAGAGCATGTGGCAAATTTACTTCTTTCTTCTGATTATCTTTAGAGCATTGGACAGACGCAAGATCTTCAAAATGCATCTCGCTCTTCTTGGTACAGTTGTATATCCAGCTTCCTTCCTTTTCTTCTCTCTTTCCCACCCAAGCTTCCTTCCTCTTCTACCCCCCCACCCCCAAGTCTCTTGATACTCTCTGGCACGCTGGCTTTTTACATCTTCTCTTTGTTGACTCTTTTCACATACTCAGTCTCTTCTTACAGGCTGTCATCTTCTGGGTATCACTACTCTCTTTGTTGGTCTTTGCTTCTGTAGATGGAGGCTTTTTCAGAAGTTTGGGTGAGAACAATAAAATACAGAGCAAGGAATCTGGCCTTTGAGCCAACAGTATGGCTGAGGTAGCAGTTCACGTGGCCACTATGCTTCCAAATAATTTCTAATACTGCTTTGCCAAAATTGTAGCTTCGGGAAGTTTACTGTGGAAGCATATGCAGCTACAGCAGAAATCTGAGATCCACTGGCTTTGCATGTCTTTATTTGTGCTGTTACAGTTATCAACCAGCACGATGAGCTAATTTTTAGTATCCTATAAAATCCTTCAGGGAGCAAATTACTGGAGGGTTTTTTAAAATGCATTTTACTGTGCAGTAATGATGAGGATAGATAGCATGTGATTGAATTTGCAAAATTAGTGAATAAATATACAAGAAAAATAATGAATTATTTTTTACTTTTTAATTGGCAGTGGTTTTAAATGGTTAATTAGATCCACTTATACGTGCAATTATTCAACTTGTGTTAGCTTACATACGCTATGACAAAAGTAATGAAGTCTGAATAAAGACCCAGCTTCAGTCTTCTTGAAATGAGAAGTGTTCCATGTTGGGGGACATCAAGAAGTGGAGCATGCAAATTAGCATAGATGCACTTTAATTTTGAACCTCAGACCAAATGTCATTGGCATGAAGGACCTCTAATTCTCACTTTTCTAATTCATGTTGTCTTAGGCATGCTCATTTTAGCCTCCTATCTCCATCTGCTTGTAGTCTTTCTTGGTAAGCTGTCATAGAGGTAAAGAAGGTTTTTGTATGCAGTCTTTTTACCTAGCATATATTTTTCTAAATAGTGTGCTCTGAAATGAACTTGAGTGCCTCAAGGAGATTCCTCCAAAGTTTTATTGTCTTTTGTTTTAAATGGGTTGTTTCCCTGTCATGCTGTATTAGAGGTTTGATGAAGTGGTGTTAACTGGTTGTTTACAAAAAGTTTTTGGAATAGGAACTAGGAAACACCAGGTGGCCAAACTTGAAGGAAGGAGGCTTCTTCCAAAAAGAATTGGGCCTATATGGAGAATGAAGGATGATAGTCTGGGAGCTGTGATAGCCACAAAGCAGGCATTAATGGTAGGTAGTTCCTGCCTCTCTCTGGCAATTTGCTGCAATTTCCATGCAGCTTACTAGAGCCAAATTATTCTTGGTCTCTTCCCGAAAGTGCCAAAAACATACTTTCTGAGGAGGTCATGCTTTGTTACAGTAAAGGCATTGGAAGAACAGTAACTGAGTTTTGGTCAGAACATGGCTACGCTTTCTTATGGGTGAGGCAATGGTGTGACTGACTTGCAAGCATTTGTAAGCATCGTATCCACAGAGTACTTTAGTGTGTGCATGTGAATTAATTTAAACTTGTTACTCTCTGGATAGACAGAAGTTAAATTAATGTGGCAGTTACCTGTACATGTCTCTGATAACTGGTGTTGGAATTATAGTTTTCAGTCAGCTTTGCCCGGATGTTACTTTCTCCACCTATTTTCCGGCTTCATTGGAATAACTTCAAAATGTACTTGCGCTGCTTTGTGTCCTCTAAAATGTGAAGGAGTATGTTCACTAGGTCAAAAGACAAAGACAAGAAAAAAATACCCCTTGCAGGACACAGGTTTAGTATTCTTAGTATTTTCTGTCTTTTGTAACAGCTTCTTGCTTGGGCAAGTCTACTTCCAATCTTAGCTAAGTTACTCTGAGAATACATTGAGTGATCTGAATTTTTTTCTTGATGTCTTTTACTGTGATATTTTCTGTTCTTTGTTTTGTAATTTCTCTATCTAGAGCCTCCATCGTAAATGGCTCAGAGAAAAGCCATTCTTTTGTTTCCTTTGTTTTCTCATTGTTCTTGGAAAAGGTACCTTTCAAGGAAGTAGAAACTACCTCTCCTTGTACATTATGGCAGTTTCTGTTTGTGTTGCTGTCTATTTGATTGCACAGTAGTTCAGAGGGTTTTTTTCTTACAAGATTACACACACATAAAACCATTAGGTTTCAAGAACTCTGTTGCAGAAGACCAATTCACGTCTAGTAAGAAAGTGAAAGCTCTCTGAAATGCTTGGGATGTATGTGAGTAGAATCAAATTTGTCGATGGGAATGATGTCTTAAGTTTGCCAACATGAAGGAAATAAGATAGTTCTTCTTTCAAATGCATGTAGGCTTCTCTAGGAGCCTGCTGTCTACTGCTTTGGTTTTTTTATTATCTCAACTGACATCAACTAACTGACATCAGATGCAACTCATGGATGTGTTTGCATTCGGATAATACTGACTTCTGTTTCCCTCCTTCCAATGATGTTCTGCAAAATCGGCAATGGCAAAGCTTTTGCTGTAATAACTGCCTCAGATAAGTTGCCCCTCATGCAACTAGTTCTCTTCAGAGAATGGGTGTCTGGGTTTCAGTATTTTATCTGCTTACATTTCTGGTGATGTTGTTACTGATGTTGCAGTATGTAAAATATTTATACTATTTGGTCATTCCTACAGCCTGATAGATAGTTAGCTTTTTTCTTCCTAATTATATGAAGAATATGCTTTTGATGAGAGCATAAAGCATTAAGAACCTCTTACCTATTCACTTTTCTAGAAGTTTTCTTCGCCATTTTTCTCTCTCTCCCCTGCCACCTTGGGTTACTGCCTTTATATCCAGACTGCTTTCATTGTTGTGATCAGGAAAAAATGCTGTTGAGCCTCATCTTCCTAATGATGGCTTGACCTAGGGTCTGAAGGAAGTCTCTTTGAGTTGTATCTGCTTTCTACTTGTTTGATTAGTTCTCTGGTACCTTCAAACCTCAAAAATTCATTCTAATTTTTCTAGATACTATAGGAATCTTTAAATCTGGGGATGGAACTGGGAAATGTCTGGTGTATCTACAAGTTAAAAGTTTGGCTACAGGGTAAAAGCTTGAGAGGTGCTCATTTGGAGGACGTAAGAAAAATGAAGGATGCAATCAAGACTGTGTTCTTTAAATCAGCATGTTTTGCCTCACCAAATGATGTCTTACGCTTCAGAATACTAAGAGGTTTATTCTTCTGTTTTCTATTACAGGAGTCAAAACTTAGATAAGTGTAACGTTTTTTTTTGTTAATTTTACTGTTAAGATGCTTCAGTAGCATAGCATTATGACTTTTTGGTATCAAGAATACCACTTGTTACTGTCTTTCAGGTTTCTGTGGAGTTTTCGTGTCGGTGTTTTGGAATAGAGTATAGCTAGATATACTTCTCAGTTCAAGCAGTCCCAAACTTCTTGTTTTTTCTTGAGCTGTTTTCATCATAACAATATTAACTCAGTTTAATCCCCTCATCCCCCAACTTTGGCTGCTTCTTAGAATCTCTAGGTTTTGTTACAGATGCCTATTACATCTATTTATGAGAGCTACAGACCTCAATGCTAACTGAACCCATTTGCTATGCGTTTCCTGTTCACACACATTATTTTCATACATAGTTACAAATGCTCAAACTGAATTTAAAAAGTGGCCTCGCCATCCCTGTTGATTGTCCTAATACCAGCTCCCACTGCCAAGGATTAATACATATTTTTTGTAAGCTGCATTAGAATTCAGACAGGAGTGAGGGGGAAGCTTCATTTGAAATTCTTAGAATAAAAGGACAAACTTTTGCTTTATGTTGAAAACAAATGGCAGGTGTTTCATTCAAACTAGAAATTCTTGCTTGTATTAGCTGAAAGCTACAACTTTGTGAAGTTGTAACTTGGTTGAACGTGAGTGGACTTAAAATGGTACTTGAACTACAACAGAAGTTCCAAGATTTTTACAGCGTTTTATACATGTAAGGGAATTTCCAATGGTGCTTTGCTCTGTATAATACTGCAATAGGTTAGTAGGTGCTTGCTGATACTGAAGTAACAGTTTAATGCTGAATGTCAATTACGTAGTCTTTTAAAGAGCAAGCAATGTACTAAACTAAAAAAAAAAAGCTTCATTTGTTTTGCCAGTAAATTTCTTAAAGCACACTGTAATTGTTTGGATTTATATTACAACTAAACGTAGGGTAACAAGGAGGTAGATGTCTTTTCACTACTGCTATAGGGGATGCTTACTAAATATCTCTATTTGGTTAACATCATTGAAGTATCACTTTCACATATGGAAATTTCTCTCTTACTAGCTTTAGACTGTAAGCAAAAGAAGTCAAGGTCAAGATCTGGAAGCAAGAAAAAAATGCTGCCATTACCTCATAGTGCGGATGAAGTTTACATACTCAGATGCAGGTACATAGGGTTATTTTAATTGAAAGAACACATTCGTAAGAGCTTGCTAATTTTGGTCATAAGAAGATTTAAGATTGTATCCTGTAAATGTGTTTGTGATTAATTTTAATAATAATAAGAGGGGGAAGCAGTTGCCTGTTTTCATTAATTTGAACAAGAGGACTTGAATCAGTCTTACTCAGGTATTAGGTTGCCAACTGTTTCTCTAGCTAAAATCTTACTGGTCATGTCTGAGTAATATTCTGTCCTTCAAAAGAAACCTTACATAAGAACAGATTGTTATTGCTAGTGTTAAAAATGTAAGAGTGTAAGTTATGTAAACTGCAGGTTTTTTGTGCTTATAGTTACTACAAATGAACTCAATTACTAAGGTTTTCTGCTAAGATATGTAGAAACAAACTTCAAGAAAATTAAGACTTTCCACTTCATGTCTTTATTTTATAATTTTTCAGTAGTGCTAGATATATGTTGATGGAATAATTTTAATATTTGCATAGGTTTTGTGGTCTGGTCTTTCGAGGACCTTTGTCTGTTCAAGAAGACTGGATAAAGCACTTGCAGCGACACATTGTCAACGCAAATCTTCCACGGACTGGAGCTGGCATGGTTGAAGTCACATCACTACTTAAAAAGCCTGCTTCAATTACTGAAACTTCATTTTCTTTACTGATGGCAGAAGCAGCATCATAGAACAAGAAAACCTTTTAAATTTTAATTGGATGTAAATTTGAAATACTTTGTCATTTTTTAAAATAAATTGCTACACTAAATTATGTTTATAAATGCTAAAGACAGAAAAATAGAGGAAGTGGATTACAGTAACATCAAAATAAATTGAATACTTAACAGTTACAGTAAGTAGTCTTTATATTTTATATAGGGTGGAAGATGTGTTTTTAAGGTTTATTATGTTTTTGTCAGTTACTGTGTTCACTATCAATACAAGACCATTACATGTATGGCAGCCATTTTTAAATTGTTGCACATGGGTACTTAAAAGACAGATTTTAATAAAACAAACCATGTTCTCTTCAGTGTTACCCAAATCAAGGCTCTGTTTATTCCAAAAAGAATTACATAGTTAAATAAGATATTATTATATTTTGTTTGTATGTATGTAGTGTTTTGTATAATACCGAGAACTGCTAATACAATTTACTCAACTTAGGGCATTAAATATCATGTACTTCATAGTTCAAGAGACTGTTTCATTCAAATAGGGCAATTAGTACTATTCTATCTAGGTGTGTAAGTGTTTTTTTTAAATCACATGAGGCTTTTTGTACTAAAAAGTGGAGGGAAACTTGTTTAAACAAATTTCTAAGAGAAATATGTACATAATACTGGAAATTTGTGGTAAGGAAATATTCTTTACTTCAGTTGCATTTCTCACTGACAATAAAGTGGTGCATCCATGCTACCTCCTACTTGTCAACAAAGATGGTATTTACCCTTATGTTTTTGTATCATAGTAGACTCAATCCAACTTTCTTTATTACAAAGCATCTTTTTGTTAACAAGTTTGTTTCTTTATGATGATTTACTTAAAGTCTGACTTGCTTACAGAAGTTTGCCTCTCTACTATTTTATTTAACACTGTAGAAATGTACTAATAAGCATTGCTCACTACACAGTTAGAGTAGACTTTTCATTTATAATTCTGTTTAAAAGATTGATCATTTTAGAAAATTCGAACACATTGAAATGTTTCTACATATGAAGAGAATGTTTACAACTTAAATTTTAGAGCTTGTTTTGGATGTGATTATATGTATGAAAACTGTAACACTATGCTCATGCTAAGGACCTACTTACAGAATTACTGAAATAAATGTGCTGTGAGGATGGAAATATGGTGCAGGTGTCTTGGTCATGATGAATTGTGTTTGTTCATTTAAACTGTCTTCAGAACATAATTTTTGTTTAAATCAAATCAGATTCCTCTACAAATCAATTTTGTATGCAATTAACATTTCATTTTACTCATATAGGGTAACAGATACTGTAGTTAAGCCAAGGATATGCATTGATATTTTCTTTATATGTAAATAAAGTTAAAAGCAGTTAAAACAAGAGGAGTATTTTGGTAGAGTATATACATACCTCACTGCCAGTGAAATTGCTTTCCTATGGTATATCTCCTTACCAGAAAAATCTCTAAATAAAAAGGTTTAAAGAAAATCTAAATGTCTATAATGTGAAGCATTTATTTGCATTGTGTGAATTAAGTTTGTGAAGTTGATTTGTCTTGCTTGGGATTAGAATCTTCTCATGATCTTAAGTAAAAGTACGTTTATTTGCAATAAACTGATTTGTTCACAGATGCATTACATTTGATTGGTGGAAAATATGAATAAATGTCTGTCTTCCTGTATGTGCGCAGTTCAGAGCTCACACATGAGGCTTGTTAATGTTCTGATAAAATATATGGGCTAGAAATGCACAGATGTGCAGGACAGAGTCCTGAGACAAGGCCATCCTAGCTCTGTCAAGGCTGTCATTAAATTAGTGCTATCAGGTGTTACTGTAGAAGTTGCTACAGATAACTTTAGCTTTATTGTCAAAATTTATTCCTCCCCTTTTTTTTTAAACTGGAAAATCTACATCAGTACATTTAAAGGCTGGAGAAAAAAATACTTCAGAGATTTTAGGAAAGATAACTGGAATGTTGAAGTGTATTGTAGACAAATTATGTGTATGGAGACTAACAAATTTCTAAATTTGTGGATGATTGTGGTATTTTTTTATATGCTGTGAAAATGGAAGATTTACAGCAATGTGTTGAAACAGAATAGAGGGAAGTGATCAAATCACCTTGAATGTTTATAATGCTTTAATAGAGTGCTTGTTTACCCTTCTCACCAAAAAAAGGTGCTTGTGTGAGAGCACCATATTTTGTGGCTGTTTAACAGATGAAAAAATTAAGTGCAAATGATATTTATCTAGTATTGTTAAGAATGCTTGTAAGGTGAAGCTGTATCATGCGGAATTTAAGAGTAGCAAAAAACTCTATTAGGTTCATAACAATTAAAAAAACTAGTTAATTCTATTTAATTCATTAAACCCAACAGTGAGCTGCTTTGTGTAACACTAAAATGCAAGGTTGTGTCTCAAGAGCAGAGATCTCTAGGCCTGATCAGTGTCCAAAATGAGATTCTTTTGATTAGGAGCAGCAGTTTTCAGTGGCAGGCTGTCTGAGTGGGTGCACTGGAGCTGTGTGCTTCCATCAGATCCTTGACAATACAGTTTGAAATATATACAGAAGTTCTAATACTCTTCTGACTATTAAATTAATTGCATTTATGGTTGATACGGACTGAGTGTTTTTTTTTGTTTGGTTGGTTGTTTTTTTTTAAATAGTAATAGAGTACCCTTAAGCTTTCTTTAGCCTCTAATCCTCAAGTGGGGCTATTTGTTTTCTTGGTTTCTGTTGTTTGGAAATACAGATCTTCTGTCACTACCTACAAGGAGATACAAATCCCCCTTTCCAGAATTACAGAGATTCTACATAATCTGGTAGAAGAGAGTTAAATCAGTCACTTTATTATATGAATTTCATGTTTCGAGATGTGTGGCTTGAGAGGCTCTATGGCAGTCTGTGCTAAAGAGCTGGACTTCCAGAATTGCACATATAAACACAAGTGTTAGTCTGTTCATGTTGGCCAGATTGCTTTGGGCTAAAGGCTGCAGTGGCGTAGTGGTTTTTGTTTGGTTGATATTGGTTCCTTATCACAATCTTACATGTTTCTGGTAAAGCTCTCTTAAGTAGCAGCCTCTGGAACATTACAAAAAAATTTTCAGAATGCTTAGAGAAGCCTGGGAAATTTTAGAAGACCGCCCCCCACGTTTTGTAAGATGATTGCCTATATTCCCTACTCCTGGTGATATTTCCAAATCGTCTTAAAAAATTAAAACTCTTGTTTGCATTGCTTGAGAAGAGGTTTCTGCTGGAAAGGCGATTTTAAAG